AAGGAAAACTGGAAAGGTGTGTGTGGGAGGGAACTGGGGCTTCCTTCAAATCTCTGTTGGCAGCGGGACGGCGTGGGGCCGGGGAGCTGTAGGGAGACTCCTCGCCACTGTGCTCAGTGCCTGGCCTCTTCCCCCCGCCCCACCCCATCGCCCAGGCTGAGAACCTTCGCTGCTGCTGCTGCCTCAGTCTGGGGGCTGTCCCACCTCAGTCCGGAGCCATTTTCACCTCAGCCAGAAGGTGCTTTTGCCTCAGCCTCGGGGCGGCCTTGACGAAGCCCGGAACTTTTTCTGCCTCAGCCTGGAGCTGTTTCTGCCTCAGCCCAGAGCCATTTTGCTGCACCCTGAGGAGCATCCACACCTCACCCTAGAGCTGTTTTTGCCTCAGCCCAGGGTCCCTCCCCATCAGCTGCAGCCACTTGGCAGAGAGCAAAGAGAGAGACCCCCTCACACACACCCGCTGCTCCGTGGCCCTGATATTCCACTGTAGCAGACAGAAAGGCTAGTCAGGGCCCCAGTAAATATTACACACACACAGAAGTTGGATAGGAGAAGGATTTAAGAGCTCCACGTCCACTGAGGCTTCCGACCCTGTAGGTTTCCCACAAGCCTAAGGGAATTTGGGTTTTGCAGGTGCACCAGGAGCTCAGTGCTGGGCAGAGAACTTTCTTGGGAGAAAGTCTGACTTGAGTGGCTATGGGAGAAGTGGCCAAAGGGGGGAGAACGGGCAGGAAGCACCCACGGGGGCACCCCCACTCTGACAGCTGCTCCAAGGGCTCCCTGCCACGTGTGGAACACGGACATGTCCCTGAGGGATTGACAACAAATGCTGTCCATGTCAGGCAATCACAGCTGTTCTGAATGTCCTCCAAGCCTCTCCACGGCAAAAGGGGAGAAGCACAGCTTGGTGCAGCGAGGGCTGTGCCGTGAGGGCTGCCGGGGAGGAATCTCTCTCTTCCTGGAGTTGTCAAATACCTCTGAAATCCTCGGGATAATAGAACTCTCAAACCCTGCAATGCTACTGTTAAAAAGCAAGGCGTCACTTTATTCACAGTGCTGAGGGCTGTGGGTGACCAGCCAAAGGCCTCCACACAGACAGAGATTGAAAACTTATTATTCCATTATTCCATGGAAGAGCAGAGTTGATTTCCAGATGAGTTTTAGGCAGAAAGGTGAGCTTTACATCGGGAGGTAAGCTGACAAGTCACTGCGAGAAAGGGAGGTCAGGCTCCAACAGGAGAGCAAGATTCAACATTCCAGGGGTCAAGAAGCCACCCAAAACCATTGCAGCGTGGGGAACCTTGAACGGCTGGTTCCGTGATGTCACAGGACTGTTGCCCCACTGTCGCTGTGATGTCACTGAAGTGCTGGGTGGCCACTGCAGTGTCCGTGGAACGCTCTCATTCAGGCACCAAGGGCCTCGGCTTGCGGTGCAGTTCGTCGCGTGCTCATCGCAGAGGAGTCTTCGGATTGAGGATTTCTCAGCGGAGAGTTGCGAACGGGCATCGAAGAGGATTTTTCAGATCGAGGAGCTCTCAGTGGAGACCCTGCAAACCAGCGAACGGTTTTCTTTTCCCTCCCCCAAGGGGCTGTGCCCCTTGGACTGCAGCACAGCTTTGCTGAAGTGTTTCGGCAAATCTGTGCTGCAGTTCATGAGTTTGTGCTCCTTTCATCAAATTTATATTTTTCTCCAGACAGGCCCTGCCAGGTGATGGATGTCCCGAGAGGTGAGTAGTGTTTGTTCCTGGGGGCAGCATACCTGGCTTTGGCATGGCTGTGTTCTTTATGCTCTTCCTTAGGCACTGAGATGATTTAGAAACAAAACTGCCCTTAAGATGCCCTTAGTTTGGTAGAACTCCTGTCAAAAGCTTTGTATGAAAAGGAGGGGTCTGTGTGTGGACAGCATTTGGAATGGAACTTGAGGTGGTTCTGTGCCCTCCACTGTGAAGTCTGTAATTTCCTCACTTTGCTGGTTCTACCAGTACGACTTCCAAAATGCAGGCTTGGGAGAGCTTCTCAGAAGTTCTCAAAACTGTTCAGTTATCTCCAGAACTGAGGGGAAAGCATCCTGTTTGCTAAATTCCATAATTAAAGGATTTGAGTCATCACACCAATGACTTTTGAAATAAAATGCCAACTTGCAAACAGTGCAGGCTCCTGAACCCAGGAGCTGTTCGTGTGCTATGACAGAATGGCTAGAGGGGATTTTGGGACAGTTTTTCTGGGGAACCGTTTTCACCAAGCTGAAGAAAACTGATGCTTGCCATTTATTAAAAGAAAAAAAAAAACAAAACCCAAAAACCAAGAGAACAGAAGAAGAAAAAAAAAAAGAAGAGGAAACTTCTTTAGCTCTTCAGCTAAAGCTGCTTTAGCTCTTGGGCAGAACAGAAGCATTGACTGTTAATGGACAATTTACATTTGCTTGATGGAGTTTCTATTTGTTTTATTTCCTGGGAAAACAGCATAAAAAATAGACAGGAAACTGTAGAAGAAGATGAATATGGGGTTTTGTCCTCTTCCCTTGCTTGCTGTGCAAAAGAACTGTTGCTCCTGGAGAGATGTTGTGAAAGAAAAATGCTCTTTATTTGGGTTGCCTTGTGTGATGGGATTCCCCACAAGAGGCAGTTTTCTGACAGCATCTGCTTCATTTTGCCTTGCCCATTGCAGACGGAGGAATCACCAGTGGATATGGAGGTGGACAGAGAGCAGCCCGTCCTTCTGTGAGTGGAAAAGGAAGCTTTGACGTTCCTAGTTTTAAGAATCATGGAGCGAGCTGTGAGCTTGGCCTGTTACAACAGAGTGCCAGCCTGAGAGGCTGAAAGCAAGTCCATGAAAGAAAGTCCATGTCAGTGCCTTTGCAGCAGCAGCAGCAGCAGCCAAGGCATCCCTGGCCGTTTTCTCATTTTCTGTTCAAGAGCTTTTAAACAGAGGAAGGTCTGGGTTTGCAGGCAGAAGATTGTTTGCTGCTTTTAGCCGTGGTGGGACATCTAAGTCAGAGCAATATGCAGCACTGTCGAACTAGTTGGTAAAGAGAGCAAATTTGGGACAATGGGATGTAATGCCCTGCCACTGAGAGGCAGCTGGGACTGTGGAGGGATTTCAACTCCCCTAATTTGATAGAGTTAAATTGGCCTGGGACATACGCACTGTAGAACTGAGGCCCGTAGGACCAAGTGCATGTCTAGGCTGGTTTCTAATGTGTAAGCAGATTAAGGTGGTGTGAAACTATCCAACCTTGCAAGGGACAGAATGGTGACTGTCCCTGACTCTACTGACTGTCTCCAGGACACAACAGCGACACCAGAACCTCTGCTGGCTCCCTCTGACTCTGGACAGGAGAATGAAGAGGAAGAAGTGAAGAAGGAACCTGTGGCTGTTGGAGAAGTAATGCCTGAAGGAATGGAAGCTTTGGTACGCACTGCCTTTGGTGTCATTCAGAGCTGCAAGTTCCTATTGTTTTAACAATATTTGTTTTGTCCTAATGTTGATCAGGGCTCCTGGAGAAGCCCCAGGTCAAGTCTCAGAGAGCAAGGACTGGCCTGTGCTGGGGTTCTTCCCCTCGGGGAGGGATGGTTAATGGCTGTCTTGTGTTTCCTTTGTCCCAAGCCTAAGGACGTGCCACCCGAGATGGAGACTCCCAGAAATCCACCTCCTGTGTTCCGTTCCTTCCTGCAGTCTTGCCTGAACTGGAATGTGAGGCCCCGATGGCCTACCAGGCAGCTTCTGCAGGTAAAGTGGCTGCAGGTGAAACAGCTGTCCAGGGATGGGCTTTGTCATCAGCTAAACTCAGAGGCATCAGGAGGCCTCCTCTCCTACTAATCTCTAGTCTTGGTGCTTTTCAAATGACAACTAAGTAGCATCCTAGAATAATTACGCTTGGAAGGGACCTTTAAGTGGCATCTAGTCCAACCCCCCTGCAACGAGCAGGGACATCTTCAACTAGACCGGGTTGCTCAGAGGCCTGTCCCACCTGACCAGGGGTGGGGTATCCACTTCCTGTGCCAGTGTTTCAGCACCCTCATTCTAAACAATGACTTCCTTAAATGTAACCAGAATCTATCCTCTTCCACTTCAAAACCATGACCCTTTGTCCCATTGCAACAGGCCCTTTGAAAAAATGTGTCCCCTTGAAGGACTGAAAGGCCACAATAAGCTCTCCCTGGGACCTTCTCTTCTCCAGTGCCATCTGTCTTGGCCTTTCCTCAGAGGAAAGATGGAGGTCTAGATAGTTCCCTACGTCCTCCTGATGTGTATTGCTGGTAACCAGAGGAATCCCACTGGAGCCTGTGAGAAACTGCATTTGGAAAGTAATGGCTCCTTTTGTTCTTCTTTGGTTTTTCGGTGCAGCATCGGTTTTTAAAAAAATCCAAGAGTCTTGCCAAGATGGCTCCTCTGATTAATGCAGTCAGGAGACCCAGAACAGCAGCACCAGAACCTCTGCTGGCTCCCTCTCTTTCTGGACAAGAGGGGAAAGAAGAGCAAGTGGACAATGAACCCGTGGCTGTTGTTGGAGCAGCAGAGGCTGAAGAAATTAAATCAGTAAGTGCCAGAGTACATAAGCACTACCTTGGTGTAATTTAGAACTTGTGTTCAGAGGAAGCTTGCTTTTCATGGCTGAAGATTTTGAGGGCTGGAGTCCTTCCATCACATGGTGCTTCAGCCCAGCCACTGACACCTGGAAAAGGGGTTTTGAACTTCCAAGTTGAGTCAGAGTGTCCCTTGCAGGACACACAGCAATAACTGTTCCCTAGAGGGTAGTTGCCCCTCTGCACGACCTAGTTGAGAAAATGCATGAAAATTGAAGAGGAAACTGCCCAGGAACTCATGTAAATCCAGTCTTTTCTTCTCATCCATTCACTTTGTGAAGTGGGCAGCAAAAGACAATTTAAGAGCCCAACTGGTGGCCAACAGCATCTTCCCAAGGGTTTGCATTTGAACTATGATCTCAGGGCATCTCTGCAAGCCACCTTTCTGACAGAAACTAATTCTTGCCACAGATCCTCAAGAGCTCTGCAATGGCAGGTGTTGCTGCAGCACCACAACCTAAAGAAGACTGCTTGCCCGACACTGAAATGCCAAGCACAAGCACTGGCAAAAGAGGCACTGGGAAAAAATGCACACAGAAAACAAACACTGGGAAGAAAAGCTCTGGGGAAACCAGCACAGGGAGAAAAAGCTCAGACCAGCCACAACTGATATCCTCACTAACAAGTATTTACCTCGCCGATCTCAGTACGTATCATGTATTTCACTTCTGGTAGAGCAGTCCATGGTATGCATGTCAACTTTAGCTGTACTAAAGGAACAGAGTGTTTGTGGAGCCATCTGTGCTTCAGAGCTGCCTCTGTTGCTCTTGTGATTGTTGTTGCCATCTGACTACAAAGGGCTCACAGCCCTGCACAGTGGGGCTGCCTTTCGGATCTGCTGCAAGGTGGTATCTCTGTTTCACACGAGCATCTTTCATGTTGTTTCTTTCAGAGGGCATTGTGAGTGAGGGGGACCCTGCGAAGAAATACACTGTACAGCAGATAATTGGCCAAGGGTAAGTCCAATCTCAGCTACTTCCACAAAACCATGGGCCAGGGATTTTGCTGGTGTCCTATCAAGCATGCAGTCGGGCAAGCTGCAAACATGGGCAGACACTGGGCTTACATCCTCCTGTCTGTCAGTCCTGATCAGTATTTAATAACTGTGGTCAGAAGGCATTGTCAAAGACAACTCAATGCTGGCAGTCTCTTGCCTGTAACAAGGAGCAGGACGTTGAGTATGTCCTATGTTTTCTCCTGGCCATCCTGCATGGCAGAGGGCTGCTGGGCTGCTGGGCTGCTGGGCTGCTGGGCTGCTGGGCTGCTGCTGAAGCCAAGTGTTTTATAAACACTCTGGGCAGCAGAGCTCTGCTCTCTGGGCTGGCTTTCTCACCCAGGGCCTAAACGCCTTCTCCTTTCTTGGCTGCTGCTCTGTTTCTAGGACTTTTGGAACAGTTTTCCGAGGAGTTGACATTGCCACAGGAGGACAGGTAAGGGCCAGCACCCCCGGCAGATTGTGCAGCTCTCGAGTGCTTTCCCCTCCGCTGGGAGCTGTGGCCACAGCTCTGGGTGGCCACGAGATCTTTGCTGCAGAGACTGTTCCTCTGAGGGCAGACAAGTGTCAGCCTGCAACACACGGTTTGGACAGACCTTGTCCTTATTAAGTCCCCAAAAGAAGGCAAGGAGGGCAGGGCAAAGGTGTCTTTCAGAGAAGGACACCTTTGCTCAGACTTATTTACTGACTATGCTAATGCATCAGCTACTTGGTGGCTCCTTACCCAGCTGCAGTGCTGCACTTGGGAAGTGCACTTACACAGGAGTCTGCAAGGGATCTAAAGGCCCTGAGCGCTGCTCATAACCCCGGCCACATCCATAAAATACCCTAGAATGGGTTATTCCTTTTCAAACCCAGAAAAGAATTGAAAATAGGAACTGAATTAAAAACGTTCTTTGCAGTTGCAAAATCCAACTTCAACATGTTACAAAGTTCTGGGATTGTATTTTTTTTTTTTTCTGAAACCTCCATGACCTTTCAGGATGGGATTTCCTCCATTATGGATTGATTGTTTGGAGACCATTTGTCCAGAGTTTACAAGGCAAAATGTCTATAGCCATGTGTCCTGTAACTGGCACACAAGGGCAAGTGGAGGAATCGCCTCTTGTCCTGTCAGTTAAGAAGCTCTGGTGTCTAATCCCAGGCAGTTTGGCCCACCCTGGCTCCATCATTCCAAAGACACCTGCTCCATGTGCGTTGTGGTCCTGTGCAACAGACTTCTCAAGTCTATGGCTTTCAATCTCCTTTTAGGTGGCCATCAAGAAGATTTTTCTTGGAGACCAAAAGCATCAAAGCGAAAAAGTTGTAAATGAAGTTACGGTCCTAAAGAGAATGAGACACCCCAATATCATTCACTATATAGACAGGTGAGTGGTTCTGGGATTATCACATCATTGACATACTGCAAGCCAAGGGCTAAAAAGCCACTTTGGTCACTGGAAGAACATGGAGCTCTTCATTATTTCTCAACTCCTCCACCTGCAGTGGATGGGAGGTGCAGGGCACAGGTCTCTTAGCTCCTTCAGGGAGGAGCTTGCCTTGTGTCTGCCTTGGCCTTTTCTGGTATAGGTAGTTTGAAGCGTGTCTTCCAAAACCTCCATCTGCCATGTCTTCCTAAAGCCACAGCCCTTCAGTTCACTACCTCCCTGTTCTTTTGGGGTCTGGTTTTTTTCAAACTGATCATCTTTTCTGTGCCTTAATGATATGTGCTGATAAACCCTCCTAGAAATTATTGCCCTTGGGGTTTTCCCTCTACTTTCTGTTGCTGTGGATGCCAGGAAGACTAAGTTCTTGTTTGCACAACCACACAATGTGCCAGGTTTTAAATGGTTTTCCCTGTTTCTGAATGCACTTTATGCAATGCTTTCCAAGGGGTTGACCAACATCTGCCCTCAGTGGTGCACACTCTCCTCCCATGGAGAAGTCTGTGTTGCCTGCTTCCTGGAGTTCAGGCTGGAAGGGATGAGTTAAGATGATGAAGCAGCTGATGGCAATGTCCTGGTTCCAGATTTCTCTCTGCTGTCACTAAACTGCATTTTTGCCTTGCTTGCCATCTAGGACATCTCCTTTTTCACAGATGAGCCTTTCTCATTTAGCCTGCTCAGATTCTCTCTTCATTTACAAGTGACCTGGCAAGAAAACTCAACTGCAGTCTTTCCCATAAGGTCATTTAGCTGGGCCCATTCATCTCCATGCTGTGGGTTTCTTCTTTCAGCTACCTTTTCAATGAAGAACTCTGGCTGGTGACGGAATATGTGGAGGGATGCACCTTAGGCGATGTCATTTCCAAACAGGCTCTTGAGGAAGAGATGATAGCCTCTATCAGTCGGGAGGTAAGGGATGCTGCCCTTGCTTCTGACAGCTTGGACAGGATGGTTCTTTGCAAAAGGTGGTAAGAGCAGGTGTGATTTCCTGTTCAGAGCTTTGTTTCTGCGTTGCTGTTATGATGTGGAGAAGAAAAGAGCATCCAAGTGAACGGCCTGCCAGTCTCACTGCATTTCTTGTACTCTGTTATTATACTCCTATAATGTTGTTGTACTTTCTTTTTTAGTTGAATTTCATTTTTTTTTATTTAATATTCTCACTTTGCCTCTTGAGACTGGAGCATATCTGCACTGCAGTCTTTGCCTGCAGACATGCTGGTGGCAGAATTTTGACCTAACTGCAGAGATAAGTAGAGAGTCATTTCTCACATTCCCCAGGTTAAAAGGATATCCCTGTACCCAAAATGCTGTTTGCTTCTGAAAAGCGACTAACATGCCACTTCCAAGTCTGCTGTTTAAGGCCAGCAATAAAAACTTTCTCGTGCAGACTTCAACCCTGAAGTGTTCCAGTTCTTAGTGAAGGGAGGGATGTTTTCTCTTTTTGGCAAACCATCATTTGTCAGCTGGATGGAGAGAGCACAGCCACTGCAGTCAAGACTGCCTGGGTTTGGAGGGGACAGTGTGGAACAACAATTGATGTGTCACCTGGAAATTTGATCTTTTAGAACCATTTCCGGTTTTGTGCGATAAAATCAACCTAATTAATTTTTCCTCTTGTGTTTCTGTGTTTAATCTCAGTGCCTGAAAGCCCTGGACTTCCTTCATTCAAATCGAGTGATCCACAGAGACATCAAAAGTGACAATATTCTTCTAGGAATCGATGGATCTGTGAGATTGAGTAGGTGTTCTTGGTCAGGCACAGCGTTCCTGGGAGGCAGGGTCTGGGGTTGCCTTTGAGTGCCTGCCAGTTCCCCAAAAGTGGTGCTGGTGGGAGTGCCCAGCCCACTGCTGTAAGCTGAGAGCAGAGTTGCAATGTGCAGAGAGCTCTAGAGAGGATGAGGCTGTCAAGAGTGCCTTTGGTTTGGGTATGTCCCTTCCAGAGGAAACAGAGCACAGCCACTCTTCCAGCTAGATTCAACACTGTGCTCTCAGACTGAGAGTGGGGAATCCTTGTGCTTGCTTTCATAATTCAAGCCGGTTTTAACACTATTTCTGTTTTCTGCAGTTGATTTTGGCTTATGTGCTTGGCTGAAGCCCCAGCGAAAGACATGGAGGTCATTTTTTGCAGCTCCTTTCTATATGGCATCAGAAATGTTGAGAAGAGACAGATATGATGCCAAAGTGGACATCTGGGCCCTTGGGATCACAGCACTAGAAATGGTGGATGGTCCTACACGGGTAAGGTGCAAATACTGTCAGAGAGCCCTGCCTTTCTCCCCTGAGCCATATCTTTCTCCCACTCACATCAGCTTGAACTAGTCCCACCAAGGCCCACGTCTAAAAGTGTCCTGGAGCACATCTGCTCACAGGAGAAGCGACATGTGCCAGTGCAGAAATGGGCCGTTTTGGCCTCCCACAATGCTTGAATTCCTCCTGTGCTCTTTGAACTCCCTTGGAGCTGGATCTCCCAATGGCAGGAATTTTTCAGCAGCAGGATTCTCCCGTTGGAGAATTACTGTGAAAAGCATTTCAAGGGGATCTGCAGGCCAGAAGTCTTTTCAAACTTGGACCAGTGCCCACTGCTTACCTGAGCCTTTCAGGGCAGGTCACTGCTTCTAGTACTGCCACAAGTATGTATTAGCCAGTACATTTCTAAAAGTAGGTTCTAGCACAGCTCCTTGCAGTAAGCCAATGTATTTCCAGGTTTGCAGTTGTAGATGCTAATTCCCTAAAATGAAATGACCCGCTCTTACACCAAAGGAGCGTGCAATAGGCCAGGAAGGTATACTGGGATAAAACCCCATGACTAAGAGCTGAAACCAAGTTAAATGCTGCACAGTTAATTCCTGAGGAAGGCAACAATTATGGAAAATGTCAGTCTTCCAGTCTTTCTGAAAAAGGTCCCTGACTTTTCATGCAAGACTTCTTTTGGATTGCATTTGCCTTGCAGAAGGCAGCAAAAAGAGATGAAGGCAATTAGCAGGACTGGTCTGGATGCTGAAAATTCTCTGCTTCCTTAAGCTCAAATGTTGATCAGGGCTCCTGGAGAAGCCCCAGGTCAAGTCTCGGAAAGCAAGGACTGGCCTGTGCTGGAGCTCTCCCCCTCGGAGAGGGATGCTTAATGGCTGCCTTCTGTTTCCTTTGTCCCAAGGCTCAGAACAAGCTACCTGAGCTAGAGAGTCCCAGAGAACTGTCGCCTGTGTTCCATTCCTTCCTGCATTCTTGCCTGAACCAGAAGGTGAAGCGTCGATGGACGGCCAGGAAGCTGCTGCAGGTAAAGTGGCTGCAGGTGAAACAGCTGTCCCTCCTGCCCCACTCTTTGAGGTTTCTGCCACCCAAGGAGGGACAGCTGAGCGGGCCTTGTCCCAGCCCCATTTGCTGCCTGGCACATTCAAGCAGGCCAGAAGTGCTCCAGGGTTCTGGCAGGTTTTGTGGCAGAGAGAGGGAGCTGCAGAAGGTGCCACTGGGCTGTCCCTGCTGGGAAGGAAGGTGGCAGCCAGCACAGGGAGGGGCAGGGCTGGAATGCACACACTGCTCTCCCTGCAAGCCAGAGCTGAGTCCATCAGCGCTCTGCCCCTTGTGTCCCTGCTCTTGTCTGGGTGCTGAGAACCTCCACCTCAGTGCTCTTCAGAACAACACACAGGCCTGCATCCTCCTGGGGTTGACCTTGCTTAGAGGTACGGGAATTTCCCGAGGAGGGGCTTATGCTCCTCATCAGTTTTCACACCTAAAATAGCCCAAGTCTTTAGAGAAGAGGAACCTAAGGGAGTCCTTTGAGTTTTCTGAAATGGAAAAAGGCCCGAGACAGCAAGTGGCATTCCCGAGCACTGGCAAGGCAAACCTCCTTGCTGCAGACACCTTGAGAAATTGAATAATGGCCTTATGGGCCATGTTTCCTGTGATAGCAAGGTCCTGGACATGAAGTTGGAGGTGTAGATGGTGCCCTCAGTCCTCCTGATGTGTATTGCTGGTAACCAGAGGAATCCCGCTGGAGCCTGTGAGAAACTTTGTTTGGAAATTAATGGCTCCTTTCTTTCTTTGTTTTTTCCTTTGGGCAGCATCCATTTTTAGAAAAATCCGGTAGTCTCACCAACATGAGTCCTCTACTCGATGCAGCCAGGAGATCCCGTGCAGAGAGGTTCACAACACCATCAACAGAACCTCTGCTGGCTCCGTCTCTTACTGGAGAAGACAGTAAAGAAGAGCAAGTAGAGAAGGAAAATGTCAAAGCAAAGCCTGAAGGAGTGAAATCAGTAAGTGCCAGAGTACATTAGCACTGCCTTTGGTGTCATTCAGAGCTGCAAGTTCCTGAGCAGACAGCGCTTGCTCTTTGGGACTGAAGATTGTGAGGGCTCTAGCCCTGCCATGACATGGTGCTTCAGCCCAGCCACTGACACCTGGAAAAGGGGTTTTGAACTTCCAAGTTGAGTCAGAGTGTCCCTTGCAGGACACACAGCAATAACTGTGCCCTAGAGGGTATTTGCCCCTCTGCACGACCTAGTTGAGAAAATGCATGAAAATTGAAGAGGAAACTGCCCAGGAACTCATGTAAATCCAGCCCTTTCTTCTCGTCCATTCACTTTGTGAAGTGGGCAGCAAGAGACAGTTTAAGAGCCTGACTTGTGGCCAACAGCATCTTCCCAAGGGTTTGCATTTGAACTATGATCTCAGGGTAGCTCTGCAAGCCACCTTTCTGACAGAAACTAATTCTTGCCACAGATCCTCAAGAGCTCTGCAATGGCAGGCGCTGCTGCAGGACCACAGCCTGAAGAAGTCACCTTTGCCAACACTGAAATGCCAAGCACAAGCACCGGGAAAGGAGACACTCGGAAGAAAAGCATTCCGAAGAAAAGCATTCTGAAGGAAATCCCGCACCGGCCGCCAACGCTGTCCCCACTAACACAACTTTTCCTTGCTGAACTCAGTATGTATCATGTATTTCCTGTCTGGTACAGCAGTCCATGGTATGCATGTCAGCTTTAGTTCTACTAAAGGAAGAGAGGAAGCAACAGAGCACTGTGGCTGTTCCTTCTGCCTCTGAGGGCAGCTGGGGCTGGATTCAGTTTTCCTGAGCTTCCATCTACGCTCCAGGCAAAGGCAGAGATGGTTTCTGGTTGAGCAGAAGGCTTTGACCTAGTGAATGACCTAGTGAACTCCTGTGTGCAGAGGGCTAAACCCAAGAGAATATTAGGGTTCCTAAATTCTCTTTAGACTCCTGACTCCTCGCAAGTCATTGCAGTACAGAGACTTTGCCGAAATCTCTAAGGTTGAAGACAAGCAGTGTGGTTCTTCAAATGGCACAGGCAAGGTCCTCTTCAGAACTCAGCCTGCTGATCAGTGATGAGGGTCCTTGTTCTTAAAGCCCCATTCTCAGGGATTAGAACTTGAGATGCTGCTCTTGAACAACATAAAGGCCTTTTTTTTGGCAAACAGCTGAAAGGTTGGGCAGATTCCATCCTCTCCTGTAAACACCTGATAATATTCTTTCTGTTCTGAAAATGGCACTTGTTCACAACAGTAGATTCCAAACCTCAATTTAATTGCCAAAATTTAATCTTTAATGCACTTAACTTAGTGCATTTAATTGTCAAAAACACTAAACTTTTGGCTGAATCACATGGAGTGTTTCTCTCCAAGAAAATAAGGGCTCTGTTGCACCAGCTCTCCTTAAAGTTTGTAGACAACAAACTCTTGCATTGGTGCCTGTTCTTTTCTGATTTCTGTCTTCTCTAAGCATTTCTCCATGTGCTTAGTTTCCTGTCAAGGTAAACCCTCAAAAGACTGTGGAAAATCAATCTTTGTGGAGCCACCTGTGCTTCGGAGCTGCCTCTGCTGTTGTGGTTATTGTTGTTGTTGTTGTTGTTGTTACCAGCTGACTACAAAGGGCTCACAGCCCCGCACAGTGGGGCTGCCTTTTGGATCTGCTGCAAGGTGGTATCTCTGTTTCACATGAGCATCTTTCATGTTGTTTCTTTCAGAGGGCATTGTGAGTGAGGAGAACCCTATGAAGAAATACACTTTACAGCAGCAAATTGGCCAAGGGTAAGTCCAATCTCAGCTACTTCCACAAAACCATGGGCCAGGGATTTTGCTGGTGTCCTATCAAGCATGCAGTCGGGCAAGCTGCAAACATGGGCAGACACTGGGCTTACATCCTCCTGTCTGTCAGTCCTGATCAGTATTTAATAACTGTGGTCAGAAGGCATTGTCAAAGACAACTCAATGCTGGCAGTCTCTTGCCTGTAACAAGGAGCAGGACATGGAGTATGTCCTATGTTTTCTCCTGGCCACCCTGCATGGCAGAGGGCTGCTGGGCTGCTGGGCTGCTGGGCTGCTGGGCTGCTGGGCTGCTGCTGAAGCCGAGTGTTTTATAAACACTCTGGGCAGCAGAGCTCTGCTCTCTGGGCTGGCTTTCTCACCCAGGGCCTAAACGCCTTCTCCTTTCTTGGCTGCTGCTCTGTTTCTAGGACTTTTGGAACAGTTTTCCGAGGAGTTGACATTGCCACAGGAGGACAGGTAAGGGCCAGCACCCCCGGCAGATTGTGCAGCTCTCGAGTGCTTTCCCCTCCGCTGGGAGCTGTGGCCACAGCTCTGGGTGGCCACGAGATCTTTGCTGCAGAGACTGTTCCTCTGAGGGCAGACAAGTGTCAGCCTGCAACACACGGTTTGGACAGACCTTGTCCTTATTAAGTCCCCAAAAGAAGGCAAGGAGGGCAGGGGTATCTTTCAGAGAAGGACACCTTTGCTCAGACTTATTTACTGACTATGCTAATGCATCAGCTACTTGGTGGCTCCTTACCCAGCTGCAGTGCTGCACTTGGGAAGTGCACTTACACAGGAGTCTGCAAGGGATCTAAAGGCCCTGAGCACTGCTCATAACCCCGGCCACACCCATAAAATACCCTAGAATGGGTTATTCCTTTTCAAACCCAGAAAAGAACTGCAAATAGGAACTGGGTTAAAAACATTCTTTAGAGTAGCAAAATCCAACTTCAACATGTTACAAAGTTCTGGGATTGTATTTTTTTTTGTGAAACCTCCATGACCTTTTAGGACGGGATTTCCTCCATTATGGATTGATTGTTTGGAGACCATTTGTCCAGAGTTTACAAGGCAAAATGTCTATAGCCATGTGTCCTGTAACTGGCACACAAGGGCGAGTGGAGGAATCGCCTCTTGTCCTGTCAGTTAAGAAGCTCTGGTGTCTAATCCCAGGCAGTTTGGCCCACCCTGGCTCCATCATTCCAAAGACACCTGCTCCATGTGCGTTGTGGTCCCGTGCAACAGACTTCTCAAGTCTGTGGCTTTCAATCTCTCTTTAGGTGGCCATCAAGAAGATTTTTCTCCGCGACAGAAAGAACAAAAGGGAGCTTGTTGTAACTGAGGTTTCACTCTTGAGCAGCATGAGGCACCCCAATATCATTCGCTATATAGACAGGTGAGTGGTTCTGGGATTATCACATCATTGACATACTGCAAGGCAAAGGCTAAAAAGCCACTTTGGTCACTGGAAGAACATGGAGCTCTTCATTATTTCTTGACTCTTCCCACTGAAGTGGATGAGAGGAGCTTGCCTTGTGTGTGCCTTGGCCTTTTCTGGTATAGGTAGTTTGAAGTGTGTCTTCCAAAACCTCCATCTGCCATGTCTTCCTAAAGCCACAGCCCTTCATTCACTACCTCCCTGTTCTTTTGGAGTCTGTTTTTTTTCAAACTGATCATCTTTTCTTTGCCTTAGTGATATGTGCTGATAAACCCTCCTAGAAATTATTGACCTTGGGGTTTTCCCACTATTTTCTGTTGCTATGGATGCCAGGAAGACTAAGTTCTTGTTTGCACAACCACACAATGTGCCAGGTTTTAAATGGTTTTCCCTGTTTCTGAATGCACTTTATGCAGTGCTTTCCAAGGGGTTGACCAACATCTGCCCTCAGTGGTGCACACCCTCCTCCCGTGGAGAAGTCTGTGTTGCCTGCTTCCTGGAGTTCAGGCTGGAAGGGAGGAGTTAAGATGATGAAGCAGCTGATGGCAATGTCCTGGTTCCAGATTTCTCTCTGCTGTCACTAAACTGCATTTTTGCCTTGCTTGCCATCTAGGACATCTCCTTTTTCACAGATGAGCCTTTCTCATTTAGCCTGCTCAGATTCTCTCTTCATTTACAAGTGACCTGGCAAGAAAACTCAACTGCAGTCTTTCCCATAAGGTCATTTAGCTGGGCCCATTCATCTCCATGCTGTGGGTTTCTTCTTTCAGCTACCTTTTCAATGAAGAACTCTGGCTGGTGATGGAATATGTGGAGGGATGCACCTTAGCTGCTGTGGTTTCCATTCAAGCTCTTGAGGAAGAGATGATAGCCTCCATCAGTCGGGAGGTAAGGGATGCTGCCCTTGCTTCTGACAGCTTGGACAGGATGGTTCTTTGCAAAAGGTGGTAAGAACAGGAGTTCAGGGCTTTGTTTCTGCATTGCTGTTATGATGTGGAGAAGAAAAGAGCATCCAAGTGAATGGCCTGCCAGTCTCACTGCATTTCCTGTACTCTGTTATTATACTCATATAATGTTGTACTTTCTTTTTTAGTTGAATTTCATTTTGTTTTATTTATTATTCTAAACTTTGCTACTTGAGGTATGTCTGCAATTGATGTGTCACCTGAAATTTGATCTTTTAGAGCCATTTTTGTGCAATAAAAGTAGCCTAATTTATTTTTCCCCTTTTGTTTCTTTGTTTAATCTCAGTGCCTGAAAGCCCTGGAGTTCCTTCATTCAAATCTCGTGATTCACAGAGACATCAAAAGTGGCAATATACTTCTGGCAATGGATGGATCTGTGAGATTGAGTAGGTGTTCTTGGTCAGGCACAGCGTTCCTGGGAGGCAGGGTCTGGGGTTACCTTTGAGTGCCTGCCAGTTCCCCAAAAGTGGTGCTGGTGGGAGTGCCCAGCCCACTGCTGTAAGCTGAGAGCAGAGTTGCAATGTGCAGAGAGCTCTAGAGAGGATGAGGCTGTCAAGAGTGCCTTTGGTTTGGGTATGTCCCTTCCAGAGGAAACAGAGCACAGCCACTCTTCCAGCTAGATTCAACACTGTGCTCTCAGACTGAGAGTGGGGAATCTTTGTGCTTGCTTTCATAATTCAAGCTGGTTTTAACACTATTTCTTTTTTCTGCAGTTGATTTTGGCTTCTGTGCTTGGCTTCAGCCCTGGCAGAAGAAACGGAGGTCTTTCATTGGGACTCCTTTCTATATGGCACCAGAAATGTTGAGAGGAGACAGATATGGTGCCAAAGTGGACATTTGGGCCCTTGGGATCACAGCACTAGAAATGGTGGATGGTCCTACACAGGTAAGGTGCAAATAGTGTCAGAGAGCCCTGCCTTTCTCCCCAGAGCCATATCTTTCTCCCGCTCACATCAGCTTGAACTAGTCCCACCAAGGCCCACGTCTAAAAGTGTCCTGGAGCACATCTGCTCACAGGAGAAGCGACATGTGCCAGTGCAGAAATGGGCCGTTTTGGCCTCCCACAATGCTTGAATTCCTCCTGTGCTCTTTGAACTCCCTTGGAGCTGGATCTCCCAATGGCAGGAGTTTTTCAGCAGCAGGATTCTCCCGTTGGAGAATTACTGTGAAAAGCATTTCAAGGGGATCTGCAGGCCAGAAGTCTTTTCAAACTGGGACCAGTGCCCACTGCTTACCTGAGCCTTTCAGGGCAGGTCACTGCTTCTAGTACTGCCACAAGTATGTATTAGCCAGTACATTTCTAAAAGTAGGTTCTAGCACAGCTCCTTGTAGTAAGCCAATGTATTTTCAAGTTTGCAGTTGTAGATGCTAATTCCCTAAAATGAAATGACCCGCTCTTACACCAAAGGAGTGTGCAATAGGCCAGGAAGGTATACTGGGATAAAACCCCATGAACTAACAGCTGAAACCAAGTTAAATGCTGCACAGTTAATTCCTGAGGAAGGCAACAATTATGGAAAATGTCAGTCTGCCAGTCCTTCTGAAAAAGGTCCCTGACTTTTCATGCAAGACTTCTTTTGGATTGCATTTGCCTTGCAGAAGGCAGCAAAAAGAGATGAAGGCAATTAGCAGGACTGGTCTGGATGCTGAAAATTCTCTGCTTCCTTAAGCTCAAATGTTGATCAGGGCTCCTGGAGAAGCCCCAGGTCAAGTCTCAGAAAGCAAGGACTGGCCTGTGCTGGAGCTCTTCCCCTCGGGGAGGGATGGTTAATGGCTGCCTTGTGTTTCCTTTGTCCCAAGCCTAAGGACGTGCCACCGGAGCTGGAGACTCCCAGAAACCTGTCGCCTGTGTTCCATTCCTTCCTGCAGTCCTGCCTGAACCAGAATGCGAAGCGTCGATGGACGGCCTGGCAGCTGCTGCAGGTAAAGTGGCTGCAGGTGAAACAGCTGTCCAGGGATGGGCTTTGTCATCAGCTAAACTCAGAGGCATCAGGAGGCCTCCTCTCCTACTAATCTCCACTCTTGGTGCTTTTCAAAAGACATCTTTAAATAATTTGGCTTGGAAGGGACCTTTAAGTGGCATCTAGTCCAACCCCCCTGCAACGAGCAGGGACATCTTCAACTAGACCAGGTTGCTCAGAGCCCTGTCCCACCTGACCAGGGATGGGGCATCCACTTCCTGTGCCACTGTTTCAGCACCCTCATTCTAAACAATGACTTCCTTAGATGTAACCAGAATCTATCCTCTTCCACTTCAAAACCATGACCCTTTGTCCCATTGTAACTGGGCCCTTTGAAAAAATGTGTCCCCTTGAAAGACTGCAAGGCCACAATAAGTTCTCCCTGGGACCTTCTCTTCTCCAGTGCCATCTGTCTTGGCCTTTCCTCAGAGGAAAGATGGAGGTCTAGATAGTTCCCTACATCCTCCTGATGTGTATTGCTGGTAACCAGAGGAATCCCACTGGAGCCTGTGAGAAACTGCATTTGGAAAGTAATGGCTCCTTTTGTTCTTCTTTGGTTTTTGGTGCAGCATCCATTTTTAGGAAAATCCAAGAGTCTTGTCGAGATGGTTCCTCTGATTGATGCAGCCAGGAGACCCAGAACAGCGGCACCAGAACCTCTGCTGGCTCCCTCTCTTTCTGGACAAGAGGGGAAAGAAGAGCAAGTAGAGAAGGAAGCTAAAAGTTCCTGAGCAGACAGCACTCGCTCTTTGGGACTGCAGATTGTGAGGGCTGGAGCCCTGCCATGACACGGTGCTTCAGCCCAGCCACTGACCCTGGAAAAGGCGTTTTGAACTACCAAGTCGAGTCAGGGTCCCTTGCAGGAGACAGGAGACAGGACAAACTGGCCCTTGGGGATACCTGCCCCTCTGCACCGTTCAAAAATCCAGGCACTGCTGCAGCAACACAACCTGAAGTCCCCTTTCCCGACATGGAAATGCCTCCACTCGCAAAGGAGGCACAGAGTAGACAAGGATTAGGAAAATAGCCAATATCTACTCTGATCCTTGCAGCCACTTCATTTGTAAATAAACTTTTGTTGTTATTCATAGCTGGGAAGTCCCATTGATGGGGGTTTTGGTATGGTTTGGAGTTGGGGAAGGGTTTCTTTCATTCATCGGCTCCAGACCACATTGCCTTTGGAATACATCCCACTGGCCTGTGTTTGCCCAGTCATGGTACTTCTATATGAGGAAGAAAGTGCAATTGCAAGTCCAGCCACAACCAGATGGAGAGTGGGGCAGACAAATCACCCCGTTGGGTACAGGTATTCAACTGGGACCGTAGAGTGTTTGAGTTCTTGACAATTGGGTTTGTATGACTACTTGCAATCTCTGTGCCTGGATGAGAGTCTTCCTCAGCTGAAAAAGCAGAAGGTCAGCCCATGTGCTCCGAAAGGGCACGTCTGATGTGAGGCTTTCAGAGCAGCAGTGTGAGGGGCTGAGCCCCCGCAGAGCCCTGGCAGAGCACAGAGCAGCCTCAGCATGCGCAGAGCCAGGCTGGAAGAAGCCCAGCCCGGGTGCTTGCATCTTCCTGGGACCAGACTAATCTTCTGGACTCAGAGACAAACTGGGTGTGGGCTGCTCCACAGGGGAATCGTGGCCAGGCATGGAAATGCACGGACTGATGGGATTTGCCACCTTGGGTCTGCGCAGGACTCGAGAAGGGCAAAAGAGAGCAGAATGATGGAGTCGTTTCTGGTAATGCCTCCTGACCTCTTGGTTGCCTCGTAGCTCCTGGGAAAGGTCGGGAGTGTCTGTGCCACTCTGGACAGAGGGGGAGGGAGCTGGGCTGTTCCACAGGCTTGTGCTCAGGTGAGTGTCCTTTGGGCATCCCAGTTCTGCCCGGGGAACTGAATCTGACACAGAGGGTGACAGCCTTCCCTGGGAGAGGCCCCACAAAATGACAGATCCTCATGGCTTGGAGGCTCCCCATGAAATGGCACAACTGACATCATGGAGATTACTAAATGTGGGAGCATTATATGGGGGGTGTGCAAATTTATAAAATATATAGACACACAAGGTACTGTAGAATTATGACCGTTGTATATAGATAGTGTGTTACAGTGCTATGGGCATACCTGGACTCTGTACTGTCTAGGGCACTTGCACAACACCCCATAACTCTCCTGCAGTGTCTGTGGAACGCTCTCAGTCAGGCACCAAGGGCCTCGGCTTGCGGTGCAGTTCGTCGCATGCTCGTCGCAGGGGAGTCCTCGGACTGAGGATTTCTCAGTGGAGAGCTTGTGAACGGGCATCCAAGAGGAGTTTTCGGATCGAGGAGCTCTCAGTGGAGACCCTGCAAACTAGAGAGCGGTTTTCTTTTCCCTCCCCCAAGGGGCTGTGCCCCTTGGACTGCAGCACAGCTTTGCTGAAGTGTTTCGGAAAATATGTGCTGCAGTTCATGATTTTGTGCTCGTTTCATCAAATATATATATGCTATTATAAAGATGCTATAATAAAGAAAAAGTTCAGTTGTTAACTCCACGCTCCGCCCCGGTTATCGGACCTCCCTCACCTGAACCCTACATAAGTCCTCGTTCCTCCTAATAAAGTAGCCATTGCATCCCTTCCTTCTATGTTGGTGGACCCTTCTGTGCACTGTCACGTCCCTGTTTCCTTCCCCACCGGGCGGTGGCAAGTATCTACTCTGATCTTTGCAGCCACTTCATTATTAAATTAACTTTTGTTGTTATTCATAGCTGGGAAGTCCCATTGATGGGGGTTTTGGTATGGCTTGGAATTGGGGAAGGAAAAAATTAAAGGAAAAACGGAAAGGTGTGGGGGGGAAGTGGGGCTTCCTTCAAGTTGGGAGCGGGACGGCGTGGGGCCGGGGAGCTGTAGGGAGACTCCTCGCCACTGTGCTCAGTGCCTGGCCTCTTCCCCCCGCCCCACCCCATCGCCCAGGCTGAGAACCTTCGCTGCTGCTGCTGCCTCAGTCTGGGGGCTGTCCCACCTCAGTCCGGAGCCATTTTCACCTCAGCCAGAAGGTGCTTTTGCCTCAGCCTCGGGGCGGCCTTGACGAAGCCCGGAACTTTTTCTGCCTCAGCCTGGAGCTGTTTCTGCCTCAGCCCAGAGCCATTTTGCTGCACCCTGAGGAGCATCCACACCTCACCCTAGAGCTGTTTTTGCCTCAGCCCAGGGTCCCTCCCCATCAGCTGCAGCCACTTGGCAGAGAGCAAAGAGAGAGACCCCCTCACACACACCCGCTGCTCCGTGGCCCTGATATTCCACTGTAGCAGACAGAAAGGCTAGTCAGGGCCCCAGTAAATATTACACACACACAGAAGTTGGATAGGAGAAGGATTTAAGAGCTCCACGTCCACTGAGGCTTCCGACCCTGTAGGTTTCCCACAAGCCTAAGGGAATTTGGGTTTTGCAGGTGCACCAGGAGCTCAGTGCTGGGCAGAGAACT